AGGGTTGTGATTCACATTCAACCTCGCTCTTGACGTCCTCGCAGCTTCTTGAATGCGCATTCCATTCTTATTGCATCCTAATTCTATCCCCAGAGGCCTCTTAATAATGCTTTGCCTTAATATATAGCCTTATGTATAAAAAGTGCAGTTATAAAATATATATTCTGCTATAAATTTCTCTAAGCAGAAAGTTCTAGGTTACGTGCCAAGATCTGGATCTATTATAATTAAACTTCTGAAGGCACAGTGACAGCTGTCAGCATATAAACATGGCAAAGGAAATCTCAGAACCCACATTCAGAAATCACTTTCATTTTTCCCTTGTCCTGCAGCTCCCTGTGTTTATCCAATCTCCTCTTGAAGCTTTCTAGGCTTGTAGCCGCCTGCCACTTCCTGTGGCAGGGAAATCCACGTGGGTGAAAGAAGTACTGCCTTTTTCTGCTGCTTTCAGTTTTGTCTTCTCCAGTGACTCTTCATTTTAGCTTCTAGGGAGAGGTCAGGCTTGATTTCCTCGAGAATCCATGGATTTGTCTTTTGGGTGGGCTGCGGGATCCATTAAACTCTCCTACCGCTTTCTTCACTCTCAGACTTCCACACCCATCCATAGTAAGGTGGAATACTGGGGTGTGAATTATCTCCACCTTGGTCTGCAGTGACACAACCTGATACTTAAGAATCTGTCCGAGCTCCTCCCAAGACACCTTCTGGGGTTTTTTTTGTTGCAGTCTGCCTTTTGGTTGAACAAAGTCCAAGGACACCTTTAAGACTGACAAAGTTTTATTCCCGGCCTTAAAGCTGTCCCTTAGGTCTTAAAGGTGCCGCTGGACTCAAACTTTATTCTGCTGCTTCAAATGGACACGGCGACCCCCTGAATCCCTTTCGGTTGATGATTGAGACAAGGAATCATAGAATGTTAGAGTTGGAAGGGACCTTGCAGGTCATCTAGTCCAACTCCCTGCACTCTGCAGGAGCACATCCGAAAGACAGCCCTACAACATACCCGAAATATGGTCGTCCAGCCTCCCCTTGAAAACGTCCAGCAAAGGAGCCTCCACCACCTCCCGAGACAGTCTATTCCACTGCTCAACCACTCTGACAGTTAAGAAGTTTCTCCTGATATTTAGCTGGTATCGACTCCCTTGTAATTTCCACCCATTAGATCTAGCCTTGCAATCCGGAGCAAGAGAGAATAGATCAGCTCCATCTTCTACATGACAGCCCTTCAGATATTTGAAGACTGCAATCATGTCCCCTCTAAGCCTTCTCTTACCCAGGCTGAACATACCCAACTCTTTCAGCCTTTCCTCCTATAAGACTTGGATTCCAACCCTCTCATCCTCCTGGTTGCCCTCTTCTGGACACGCTCGAGCTTGTCAACATCCTTCCTACAATGTGGTGCCCAAAACTGGACACAGGACTCCAGGTGAGGCCTGACCATAGGAGAAAAGAGTGGAACTACCATCTCCCGTGATCTAGGAAAACTTTAACAGTCTCAGTTGCATCATCGTCATCCTTAAGGTTGTGTCACTCCTCAGGTGCAGGAGACGGTGCCAAAGAGAAGGTCCGGAACCTTGGCCGATGCCCAGAGGCGTCAGGCCAGACCCCAGTGGAGATCAAGCACTGCTTGGAGGGCGCATGCCTTCCACTAGGGGTGTGTGTGTGCGTGTGTCTTGGGATGGTGTGTGTGTGACGGTTTCCCTGGAAACTCTTAGGGGCAGGTGCTGACTTTTCTGCCCAGGGAGCTAATCCTTTTGGCACTTTGCAGGTCAAAGGTTGCTGGGAAGGGAAGCCGGAGACACCAGCCCTGGAGTCCTTCCCGTCTGCCGAGGCAGGGCTGTGTGCTCAGAGGCAAGGTGCCTAGGGTTGCCAACTGCCTGGAGAACCAGAGGCCCTGTCCCTGTAATAGAGGTTTCGTGGGCTGTTATTGTATCTCCATGCCGTCAAAGGCTTCAGTTGCTTATTCCCAATTGTTCAGCTTCTGTTGAATGTTTTATTTTTAAAAATTTTAATTTATTCCCTTCGATGGAGACCTAAAACGGCTCACATCATTCTCCTCTCCACAGTTTTATCCTCACAGCAACCCTGTGAGGTAGGTGAGGCAGAGAGGGCGTGACTGGCCCGGGGTCACCCAGCCAGCCTCCGTGGCATGAGTGGGGATTCAGAACTCGGGTCCCAGTCGGACACTTTAGCCCCTTCACCACACTGGCTCTTAAAGGTAAAGGTTTCCCTTGCTCGAAAGCCAGTCGAATCCGACTCAAGGGATGCGGCGCTCATCTCCATTTCCAAGCCGAAGAGCCAGCACTGTCCGAAGACGTTTCCGTGGTCATGTGGCCGGCATGACTAGACGCCAAGGCGCATGGAACTTTGTTACCTTCCCGCTGAAATGGTACCTATGCATCTACTTGCAATTTCTTGCTTTCGAACTGCTAGGTTGGCAGGAGCTGGAACTAGAGACGGGAGCTCACTCCGTCATGCAGCACATTCGGGTCTTGAACTGCTGAACTACCAACCTTCCGGTCCGCAGCTCAGCGTCTTAACCACTTGAGCCACCGCTTACAGGAGCGGAATATTTTCCTCCAGTCTTGGTGGCCACCCAAGGGCTCCTGCAGGGTGGGCAACAGCAGCAGCAGCCACACGAAGTTTGTCCGCATGTGTCGGGTTGTGTGTGTGTGTGTGACTGGCCTGCCCGTCAGGGGCCACGGGGCTCGCCTTCTGCCAGGGCTGCTTGGCCACCCGCGGCTTCCTGCCCGCCCTGGAGCAGCAAGGAGAAGCCCCGAGGAGCTGGGCTTAGCCCCACCCTTGGCCTTTGTTTTGGGAAAAGGAGGGCTGTCCTTCCCCTCTTGGTCTGGGGGGAGCCCCTGCCCGCCTTCTCCCCTGGGCTTCTCCGGGACACCCCCCCCACCTCCCCCTGCCTCGGCCTGCCCTGCTCCTGGCCCTGCCTGCCCCCGTCCAGCTGAGACTGGCCTCTCTGGCCTTTGGGTGGCCTCCAGCCAGCCGGCCGTCCTCCCCTCCCCACCTGCCCCCGGGGAGATATAAGCGCAGCCTAAGCCAGACGTCCTCCCCTGGAGCCATGGCCTGGTGCCGCAAGCAGAGAGCCCCGGAGGGAGAGCCCCACCGCCTGACCGTGGCCCCCGGGAGCCCGGCCGAAAAGCGACTCCTGGAGGAATCCTTCGGCCAGATCTTCAAGGAGCCCGAGCCCCGCGGGTGGCACTGCGCCAAGAGGCTGATGAGGGACCTGAAGCGTAAGTGGGGTTGCCAGCTCCAGGTTGGGAAATTCCTGGAGGTTTGGGGGGGGGCCTTGCCTGGGGAGGACGGGGAGATCCGCTGAGTCCGCCCTCCAAAGCAACCATTCTCTCCAGGGGAACTGGAGACCAGTTGTAATTCAGATCATAAATCAGATCATCCGGAGATCAGTTGTAATTGTGGGAGACCTCAAGGCCCCACCTGGAGGCTGGCAACATATGTCCCCCAGAAAGCACTGCTGTCGGGGGCTAAGAACCGCCTGGCCCTCCCAGGCACAGACCATCATTAAAGTGTCGAATTCTCTGCCAAATAATTTTAAGTCAATGAAAGCATTTGGGATTGCTTTCCTTACTTTGTTTGGATCATCTTAAGTTAATGTATGAGTTGTTTTTTTCTAAAGTAAAACCTCCGTATTCAAGTTAAATGGCCGTGTGGGCACTTTGCGATAAATAAGTGGGTCTTGGGTCGCAGTTTGGGCACTCGGTCTCTAAAAGGTTCGCCATCATTGCTCTAAGCTGCGGAGTCTTGTGAGCAAAAATTCTACTTTGTGAGCTACTGGCATTAAAGTTGTGAGTGAGCGATTTGGCTACTGCATATATTAGTTTGCTCTGGAGCCCCATGCTTCCTGAGCTGAGACAAAAATGTGTGAGCTGGAGGCTAAAAAAACTGTGAGCTGGCTCACACTAACTCAGCTTAGAGGGAACACTGGTCTCCAGGCCCCACCTGGAGACTGACGACCCTAGGTGGAGGACAGCCTTGTGGGCAGTGTTCCCCCTAAGCTGAGTTAGTGTGAGCTGGCTCACAGTTTTTTAGCCTCCAGCTCACCCATTTTTGCCTTGGCTCAGGAAGGATGGGGCTCCAGAGCAGACTAATTTAGGCAGCAGCCAAATCGTTCGCTCACAACATTAATGCCAGGAGCTCACCAAGTAGGATTTTTGCTCACAAGACTCCACAGCTTACAGGGAGCATTGCTTGTGGGGGAGGATGGGTTCCTTGGCTGAGCCGGGAAAGCAGAAGGAGGAAACCCGCAGGGTCGGCGTGCCCCTGTTTTGGGCTGAACAGGGAAGCGGAAAGGGGGGGTGGAGGCTGCAGCTCAGGACAGAGGATGGTGACGGGTGTGTGTGGGGGGACCCTTGGCTGGTGTCTGGGCAGCAATGTCGGGGGTCTTAAGGGGCCTCTTTCTCTGCAGCCCTGGGCCTCTACATCCGCTCCCAGAGCCTCAAGTTCGGCGAAGACTGGATCTTCCTCTTTCTCCTTGGCATCTCCATGGCAACCATCAGCTTCGGCCTGGACGTGGTCACCTCCAAGTGCCAGCGAGGTGAGCTCTCTCCTGTCCCCACAGAGCTCTCCGGCGGGCCGAATGTCTGAGGAAGGGTTCTGTGGGACTCAAACACTTGCACGGTCTGTTCCCCCCCCCCCAGCCTGAGTGGGGTTTGGAACCTGGGTAGAGGGCGCTTTCACACACATTGAATACTGCACTGTCAATCAGTGTCAGTAATGTACTGTCAGTCACTGTCAATGCACTGTCAATCACTGAGCCAGTTTGGTGTCGTGGTGAAGTGCGCGGACTCTAATCTGCGAGAGCAGGGTTTGATTCCCCACTCCTCCAATTGCACCTGCTGGATGACCTTGGGCAAGCCATAGTTGTGACAAGAGCTGTCCTTGAAAAAGAGCGATTTCTGTCAGAGCTCTCTCAGCCCCCACCTACCTCCCAGGGTGTCTATTGTGGGGAGGGGAAGGGAAAGGAGTTTGTGAGCCGCTCAGAGACTCCTTTGAGTAGTGAAGGGCGTGGTATAAATCCAATCTCTTCTTCTTCTTCTTTTTCCCTCTAAACTGAGTTAATGTGAGCTAACTCACAGTTTTTTTAGCCTCCAGCTCACACATTTTTGTCTGAGCTCAGGAAGGATGGGGCTCCAGAGCAAACTAATTTATGCAGGAGCCAAATCGCTCGCTCACACCTTTAATGCCAGTCGCTCACAAAGTAGTATTCTTGCTCACAAGACTCCACAGCTTAGAGGGAGCATTGGTGTCAATGCACTTTGCAACTGGATTTCACTGTGTGAAGTGGCAGAATCCACTTGCAAACAGTCGCTGAAGTGGATGGAAACGGCGTTATTTAGCATGGGTGGTGGAAGCGCCCCAGATCCTAGCCTGACACTCTTAACCGCTCATCTGGCTCTCCTTTAAAGGTGCAACTTTTTCTCCAGCCTGGTTGGCAACTCCGGCTGAAACAGAGCTCTTTCCTATCAAGGCGAGTTCCCATTCTTGTGTCACAACCTCTGGCTCCCCCCTCCCCCCAGGACATTACCTCAAGCCTGGTGGATAGAGAGACCCATTCACAGGAACCAGACTCACAACAATACGATATAAAGGCAAACAAATAAATATCTTAAAGCAACAAGAAGAAGAGATTGGATTTATACCCAACCCTTCACTCGGAGTCTCAGAGCGGTTTACAATCTCCTTTCCCTTCCCCTCCCCACAACAGACACCCTGTGAGGTGGGTGGGGCTGAGAGAGCTCTTCTGAGGACTGCTTGTGAGAGAACAGCTCTGAGAGAACTTGTGACTGACCCAAGGTCACCCAAGCTGGCTGCGTGTGGAGGAGGAGTGGGGACTCAAACCCGGTTTTCCCAGATTAAGAGTCTGCCGCTCTTAACCTGACAGACGGGGAAACCACCAGGAGGTTCTGTGGGCTAGATCTTAGGAAGTCTGTGAAAGAGAAGGTGCTCGCTCCGGCATTGCAGGCATTTCTGTCCTTTCCGAGGGCAGCTGTGCTGGTCTGCAGCGGAACAGCCAAGTTTGAGTCTGGCAGCAGCTGAGAGACCCACAAGATTTTCGGGTTATGAGCTTTCGAGCTCATACTCCAAAAATCTTGAGGGTCTCTTTGCTGCTGCTGGACTTGAAACCAGCCAGGCTATTTGGTGGTGGCCCCTTTTGGAAACAGCCACAGAGGTGGTGCTGAGCCGACAGCAGGCAGATGTAATCTGCGTATGAGCAAAGGCCTTGTGATGGTCTTCTGTTCACAGGGGTCATTTCATAGAGGAAGAGGTGCAGGAGCTCATTAGCATAACCTATTTGCATTATGCCACACCCCCTGACATCACCGGAAGTGTGTCAGAAGGCAACACCCACCGCTCAGGCTCCACTGGACTGTTTTGGATTGCTAGCTATTGAAGGGGGGGGACATGCAGATCTGCCCTCGCAGAGGAGGGAGAGCTTGTACCTGAATAAAACTTGGTCTTAAAGGTGCCACTGGACTGTTTTGGACTGGGGGGGCTCTGCAACTTACCTGGTTGATTCTTGCTCTGACTGAGGGCTGCTAGAAGCAGGGGGTGGGGCTTGTTGCATGTGCCCGCCCCCTGGACTCTTTACTGCCGGAGCTCTGCTCCTGTGCACTCCCACAGGAAATAGCCATCAGTGGCTATTAGCCACAAGGTATAGATAGGGACTCTGGGGCAAGGGACGCTCTCTCTTCTTGGTGCTTGGGGGGGGGTCAACAGTGGGAGGGCTTCTAATGTCCTGGCCCCACTGGTGGACCTCCTGAGGGCACCTGGTATTTTTGGCCACTGTGGGATACAGAGTGTTGGACTGGATGGGCCTTTGGCCTGATCCAACATTGGCTTCTCTTATGTTCTTATGACCCCTGTCTGTTCGTCTTGCCTCTCCCCTCACCCCTGCGCCCCCCGTAGCCAACCTGTGGGCTTACGACGAACTGGAGGGCCACCGCCACTTGCAGTATTTCTCCTGGACTTTCTACCACGTGGCTTTGACGGTGGGTTCCGCCGCAGCTGCCAAATACATCTCGGCCCAGGCCGCGGGTAAGTCCACCTTTTGGCTTGAGGTGGGGTGTGAGGGGTGGAGGCTGTGGGACAGCCCCCCCCCCGGGAAGGGGTCCCACCATCCCTCTGGCCAGCCCTGCCTTCCCAGGCTGGTTGGCGCTGCCCGAGACGCACCCCTGGAGGTCGAACAGGAACTCCCGTGCCAAAGAAAGTCCCCGAGCGGGTGGCCCCCCCCTTCTGCCTCCCTCGCTCTTCTTCTCGCAGGCTCTGGGATCCCGGAGCTGAAGGTGGCCCTCCGAGGGGTCGTCCTCCACGAATTCTTCACCTTGCGGACCTTTGTGGCCAAGCTGTTGGGAGTCGTTTGCTGCTTAGCAGGTGGGAGCACCATCTTCCTCGGGAAAGTGGTGAGTGGGACACTGGGGCGCAGGGTGGGCATCTAAAGGGGGAAGACGTTGGGGGGTGAGTTTGAAGGAGAGAGAAGGGGGGGGCCTGGGGGAAACATGGGCATGCATGCCTGAGGCACAGCAGTTGTCTGTTGAATGCCGACAGACATTCTGTTATAAGAGCCTTTGAGGAACGGCTATCTACTGGGCTAGAAATTTAGCAATCTGTTGTTGTTGTTTTTGCTGTGTGCCATGTGTACAAAGCTGCTTGAGTGAGCGGAGGGCTGGTTATGTTCTGGGAATCCTTGTGATGGGTGCTAACCTTTTTATTTACCTGACTGTGGAGGAGGGGAGCCGTGTTTGGGGAGGGAAGAACACACATTTCCCGTGATGCTTTCTTAGGGTTGCCAGGTCTGGGTTGGAAGATACCTGGAGACTTTGGGGGTGGAGCCAGGAGAGGGCGGGGTTTGGGGAGGGGAGGGGCCTCGGCAGGGTCCAATGCCACGGAGTCCACCCTCCAAAGCAGCCATTTTCTCCAGGGGAGGTGATCTCTGTCAGCTGGAGATCAGTTGTAAAAGCGGGAGATCCCCAGGCCCCACCTGGAGGCTGGCAACCCTGTGCTTTCTCTGTACTGTTGTCTACACATGTGAGAGAGGGGCTTGTCTAGACCCCAGCTTCCAACTTGTCTCTCTTCCCAAGACCGGGTGTGGTGACCGGGAGCACCTGCTGCCAAGACCTTTCTTGGTGTTTTTAGGAAGTTGGGGGTTTTCCCAGCAAGCCTTTTGATTGGCCATTAGAGATTAGATTGACTGTGCAGATTTTTTTTTTAATGTTGCTTTAGCAGCAGCTGCCTCCACAATAGAAGGACTGCATGATTGGAGGTCAGCCACGGCAGCCATTTTGTGGCTGGCCCTGCCTCCTGCGGCAGCTATTTTGTGGCAGCCATTTTGTGGCCATGCCAACACAAGTGGTAGATGCTGAACTGCAGGCTGTGGAAGGTCAGTAGTTCAGCAGTTTGAGACCCGAGTGTGCCGCATGACGGAGTGAGCTCCCATTTCTAGTTCCAGCTCCTGCCAACCTAGCAGTTCAAAAGCAAGACATTGCAAGTGGATAAATAGGTACCACTTCAGTGGGAAGGGAACAGCATTCCGTGCGCCTCGGCGTCTAGTCATGCCGGCCACATGGCCACGGAAATGTCTTCGGAGAGCGTTGGCTCTTCGGCTTGGAAACGAAGATGAGCACCGCAACCCTAGAGTCGGATTCGACTGGCTTTCGAGCAAGGGGACCTTTACCTTTTACCACCACACAGTCCGAATTCTGAAGGTGCTTGCAGGCTCAAAAAGACCCCGGGCCTAAGGATTGTAACTTAGGGAGGGAGAGAGCAGTGGTGGTGTTTTCTGTCTATCCCCAAATTAAAATTCAGTCTGTGTGTTCGTGTGCGTGGGGGAACTATGACAAAACCAGTCTTGGTTATAAAACCAGCATTAGTCGCTGGGGCAGATATGTTGGGGGAGAGCGATGGGGAGCAGTACAAAACTGGAACAACCTTCTCTGGCCGCAGAAGGAAAGAGTCAGACACTTCTGGGGTGGAGGAGGTACATCTCTGTGCGTGGGATGCCCACAAGTGGGAACTGCCACATGTCGCTTTGTGTCAGTCACGTGTGTCACTTTGGCTGTTGTGAGCAGGGCTGACAAGGGGGCAGGGAACAGGGGTGCAAAATTGGGTGGGTGGGGGAGTTACCTTACAAGGCACCCCAAGGGGAATTGTGGCATGGGGACCATTGCCCGATGCGTGAAGTGTTGTTGGTAGGTATGTGTATGTTGGGAAAGATTGAAGGTCGAAGAAGACGGGGATGGCAAAGGATGAGATGGTTAGACAGTGTCATAGATGCAACGGACATGAAATTGAGCAAACCTCAGAGGACGGCGGAAGACAGGAGGGCCTGGCGTGATCTGGTCCACGGGGTCGCGAAGAGTCGGACTCGACTGCGACTGAACAACAACAACAACAAATGTGTATGTTTACACACAACGGGGTGAGGCAGGCATGGAAAAGTGACAACAGAAAAAGGCCCCGCCATCCAAGATATCAGTGTGTTGCTCTACTATGGAGAACCACAACCCAAAACAGGATCCGGTCAAGGGATCCCATTCAAGCTGGTGTGAGCCTTTCCCGGCTGGTGAGGGGTTGCCTAAACTAGTTGGAGGGGGTAGACCTCTGAAGAGGGCCAGCTGGCTACTCCCAGACTCTGTTGAGCCCAAGCAAGCGGCATCGCGTTGTCCACACCCGCATTCCTTGTGTGTTGTGCTGTGAGGCCATCTGTGGCAATGTTGTAGCGTTGCCAGCTCCAGGTCGGGAAATTCCAGGAGGTTTTGGGAATGGAGCCCGGGGAGGGTGGGGTTTGGGGACTGGAGAGAGCGCTGTAACGCCACAGATACTGCAAAGCAGCCCGTTTCTGCAGGGAAACTGATTTCTGTCGTCTGGAGTTGTTATTTCAGGAGGTCTCCAGGCCCCGCCTGGCCGTTGCAAACCAAAGAGAGAGATCACGGGATGGAGGTCGAAGGGACACAAACAACCCTGATGTGCCAAAAAAAAGTCTTCTCAGACTCGAAAATTCTTTTTCCAATATTCGGTCTACTGGAAGCAATTCAAACGCCATCGATACCAACGAACCATGCCTATGACATCTCGTTGCGTGTATAACTTTATCAAAGTGGGCAGCGTTGAAATACCTATATCTAATTACAGAAATAAATTTCTGTTATTAGTATTAGCAAAAAAAAAGAAAGAAACGCAACTGGCTGTACAAACAACTGGCTGTTTTATGTTATACTTACATCATCAATCCATTTGGCAGACACTCTAGTCATATCTCCTAGTAACTGCATCAGATCCATTAAAGGTAAAGGTTAAGGTTCCCTTGCTCAAAAGCCAGTCGAGTCCGACTCTAGGGTTGCAGTGCTCATCTCCGTTTCAAAGCCGAAGAGCCAGCGCTGTCCGAAGACGTTTCCGTGGTCATGTGGCCGGCATGACTAAACACCAAGGCGTACGGAACGCTGTTACCTTCCCACCGAAGTGGTACCTATTGATCTACTTGCAATGTCTTGCTTTCGAACTGCTAGGTTGGCAGGAACTGGAACTAGAGATGGGAGCTCACTCCGTCATGCGGCACACCCGGGTCTCAAACTGCTGAACTACCGACCTTCCACAGCCTGCAGTTCAGCGTCTTAACCACTTGAGCCACCGCAGCTCCTCAGATCCATTAGTGTGATGTAGATCTGCTCTTCCTGCTCACTTATACATATCTAAAGCCCGTAATTGCTGCCGGCCGGCCCTTTTGTCAGACCTGCGTCTTAAAGGGACAAAACCCATCTACGCCTGGCAGTTGGCAACTCGAGTGCAGGCACTGTGTAGCAGGTATGTGGGCTGGCCCCACCTCATTGTGCTTTTTGTCAGGTTTCTGTCACCTTCACCCGTCTCTCCTCTCCGCAGGGACCCTTCGTGCACATGGCCACCATCTTGGCCACGCTCCTGGGCAAAGTCATGGTCTGGTACACAGGCGCCACTGAGGTGAGCGTGGCTGTCCACGAAAGCCTTGCAGCCCAGACGCTGCCAGCGGCACCCGTCCCTCCTTGTCGGCCTGGTGCCCAGCTGCGCATCCTGCTCACACCCTCTCTGCTCCTTTGCAGAACCCCTCGCGCAAGTACGAGCTGCTGATCGCAGGGGCTGCCGTGGGCGTGGCTTGCTGTTTCGTGGCTCCCGTCGGAGGTAACCGAGCTCCCGTTTAAAAGCCTGGGTGGGGGTGACACAGGTCGGGAGGGTGGCTGCCTCCCCTGCCCCCCTTGTTCCGCCATGAACAGTGGATTCGTGACCCACAGGGGTACTCTTTGGCGTGGAGGTCACAGGCACCCACTTCGCCGTACGCGACTACTGGCGTGGGTTCTTCGCCGCGACGTGTGCAGCCCTTACCTTCCGCCTGCTGGCAGTGCTCAACAACACCAGAGGTGAGTGTGGAGCATGGGGTGTGTTGGAGGGGGTGTCTCTTTCTTTCCGGCCTGGATCCCGGGCCTTGAACAGTTGCAGGACGCTCAGTGTTCCTCCTCCTCTTCCCTCCTCTGACAGAGGAGCGGATGAAGGAGACCTGGCCATCGCTAGCACACCAGAGCTTGGGGCGGGTGGGCCTTTTTTGCATAACCCCCTTCTGCCCCCTCCCGTGTCTCTCTGGAAGACACATCTAAAGGCACTTTCCCACCTGCTGAATAATAGTGCACTTCCAATCAGTGCTCCCTCTAAGCTGTGGAGTCCTGTGAGCAAAAATTCCACTTTGTGAGCTGCTGGCATTAAAGTTGTGAGCGAGCGATTTGGCTGCTGCATCAATCAGTTTGCTCTGGAGCCATCCTTCCTGAGCTAAGGCAAAAACGTGTGTGCCGGAGGCTTAAGAACTGTGAGCTACCTCACACTCACTCAGCTTAGAGGGAACACTGCTTCTAATCCACTCTCACTGCACATCACAAGTGGATTTCACTGCGTGAAAAGGCAAAAACCACTTGCAGAGGATCCCTGGAGTGGATTGGAAGCACCAGGAGTCATTTCCTGCAGGAGCGCACAGGAGCAGAGCTCCGGCAGTAAAGAGCCCAGGGGGTGGGCACATGTAACAAGCCCCGCCCCATGCTCCCAGCAGCCTTCAGTCAGAGCAAGAAGCAGCCAGGTAAGCTGCAGAGCCCCCCAGCCAGCCCCCTGGTCCAAAACAGTCCAGTGGCACCTTTAAGACCAAGTTTTATTCAGGTACAAGCTCTCCCTCCTCTGCGAGGACAGATCTGCACATCCCCCCCCCCCAATAGCTAGCAGTCCAAAACAGTTCAGTGGAGCCTGAGCGGTGGGTGTTGCCTTCTGACACACTTCCGGTGATGTCAGGGGGTGTGGCATATGCAAATAAGTTCTGCTAATGAGTTCTGCTAATGAGCCTCTGCACCTCTTTTTCTACAAAATGACCCCTGGCCGAAGCGCATTACTCAGGATGTGCAGCAGCTCCTTAATAAGTCTGCTTTGGAGTTGCCCCGCCCCCCGCGCTCCATTTCTTGGCCTTTCCCCAGCCGGGTTGCTGGCCTGGAATGGCGTCCTGGTGAGGGCCCCCCCCCAGCACCCCTGCTGATTTGCCCTGCCCCCCCCCCACTCTCCAGAGACGGTGGCCGTCCTCTTCCGGAGCAGCTGGCGTGTGGAGTTCCCCTATGACCTTCCGGAGCTGCTCTCCTACGCAATCCTGGGGTGAGTCTTGCGAGGGGAGGGGCCTTCGGTTCTGGCCGTGGGTCACCCTGCCTGAGCTTGGGGTGGCAGGAGGGCCCAGCAAGGGAGAAGAGAGCGGTCTTTCCCCCCTCCTACTGTTGGAAGCCCTTGGAAGCGGCACGGAGGGGCAGCCTAAAATCCCAAATGCCCCCAAAGGAGGGGGGCTGTGGCTCAGTGGCGGAGCCTCTGCTTGGCATGCAGAAGGTCCCAGGTTCAGTCCCCGGCAGTGCTCCCTCTAAGCTGAGTTAGTGTGAGCCAGCTCACAGTTTTTTAGCCTCTGGCTCACACATTTTTGTCTTCGCTCAGGAAGGAGGGCTCCAGAGCAGACTAATTCATGCAGCAGCCACATTAGCTCGCTCACCACTTTAATGCCGGCAGCTCACAAAGGAGAATTTCTGCTCACAAGACTCCACAGCTTAGAGGGAGCATTGGGCATGTCCAGTTAAAAAGACCAGGCAGTAGGCGATGTGAAGGGCCCCTGTCTAAGACCCTGGAAAGCGGCTGCCAGTCTGAGTAGACAATGGTAGACCTTGAGGGACCAAAAGTCTGATTCAGTATACAGCAGCTTCATGTGTTCACAGAAAACCAGAGTCCAGGGGCGCCATAAAGAGGAACAAATGTGATTTTGGCAGAAGCTTTGGTGAGTCCCAGGTGGCTCCGGGGAGTGTGAAGCCATCGGGCTTGACTGATAGCCCCCACAGAAAGGGGGGTGGGTCAGGGGGAACGTGACAAAGAGAGGCAGGTTCAAAGCAAGATCCTGCCCAACAGGATGAGGCCCTGCCAAGTGGAGCTAGCCAGGCAGCTGCGGCCCAGGGGGATGGGAGGGGAGCAGATACAATAAGAAGGTGCGGAGGTGCCGCTGAAATCCCCCTCGGCCTATCTCTGTCAGCCATGTGGGTCAACCTGTTGGATTGGAATCAGGGGTTGGATCCAGCCAGCTTCTCTGCTGGTAAAAAGGGTCGAAGAGTCACTTCTGACACCCCACTAAGCCAATGCTGGGGGAGCACGGGACCTCTGTGGATAAGACCCCTGTGGGAAAAGGACGCTCTGTCGTCTTGGTGCTTGGGGGGGGGGGTCAACAGTGGGAGGGCTTCTAATGTCCTGGCCCCACTGGTGGACCTCCTGGTGGCACCTGGTATTTCTGGCCACTGTGTGACACAGAGTGTTGGACTGGATGGGCCTTTGGCCTGATCCAACATTGGCATCTCTTATGTTCTTATAGGAACTCTGTCTGGGGCAAGGGACGCTCTGTCGTCTTGGTGCTTGGGGGGGGTTAACAGTGGGAGGGCTTCTAATGTCCTGGCCCCACTGGGGGACCTCCTGGTGGCACCTGGTATTTCTGGCCACTGTGTGACACAGAGTGTTGGTCTGGATGGGCCTTTGGCCTGATCCAACATTGGCGTCTCTTATGTTCTTATGAAGTAGAGAGGGAGGAATTGACCAAGAAGCTGACCCTGCCTCTCTCTGTCACATTCCCTCTGATCCACCCCATTTCTGGGGGGTATATCAATCGGGCCTAAGGACGTTGCACTCCGTTCTACCTGAAGATGTGAGCTGAGCTCCAACTCACCAGAGGTTCTGCCAGAACCAAGTTGGCTTGTCTTTCTGGTGCTGCCAGACTCCTGATTGATTTTGCTGCTCAGTCACGTCTGCCCTTTGTTGGAGGAGTTGCAGCCACTCCATCCCTCGGCCTGGGCCTCCAGCGCTGCAGGGCCCTTCTGGAGATGGGGGGCCAGGATCGTCCGTTCCTTTGTTCCTCTTTAATATCTCTCTGTCTATCAGAGAAGGAGAATTTCCACCTTTTCTCTAAGGACATCCACCACCACCACCCCGAGTTTTTCTATTGGAAGAATTTTGAAATATGGGGAGCACTGAGGAAAAAAGCCCTTTGAACTATTTTTCTTTTGCAATGGCCGAAATGCTTCATTTGCTCAAAACACAGAGCATAAGAATTATATGTAAGACCATTTTCAGCATCAGGTACCTATAATCCCTGTGTATACTGCAGTGCAACATTTCCAAGGATATGTTTATTATTTAAACAATTTTGGCTGCCGTTAATACGGTGTATTAATATGGTGTTTGAGACCCGGGTGCTGCATGACGGCGTGAGCTCCCGTCTCTAGTTCCAGCTCCTGCCAACCTAGCAGTTCGAAAGCAAGAAATTGCAAGTAGATAAATAGGTACCACTTCAGTGGGAAGGGAACAGCTTTCCGTGCGCCTTGGTGTTTAGTCATGCCGGCCACATGACCACGGAAAGGTCTTCGGACAGCGCTGGCTCTTCGGCTTTGACACGGAGATGAGCACTGCAACCCTAGAGTTGGACTCGACTGGCTTTCGAGCAAGGGAACCTTTACCTTTACCTTTAATACGGTGTAAGAGTTTGGTGTTTTCAATGTTCTAAAATTTCACTTGATATCTAAATGTGGTGGTAGTCCTACTTACTGTGACTGTAAATAAGAACGTTCCTGTCCAAATTATACAGTCCCTTTTGTTCAAGGTGGGTTGCCGGCCGTGTTGGTCTGTCTGTAGCAGCAGAAAAGAGCCAGAGTCCAGGAGCACCTGAAAGACGGACAAAAATTGCAGCAGGGGAGGAACTTTCCTGAGTCACTGCTCACTTCTTCAGGTCTGACGGACTGAGCGGTGACTCCTGAAAGCTCATCCCCCTACCACAAGTTTTGTTAGTTCCTTTTATTGACAATAAAGTTTGTTTCCTCCCAGATGGCAACAAGCATGTGCCCGGGCTGCATTTGGCCGTTCTCTCTCTCAAGTATAGGGGATGTTTGTGATTTATGCTAATGTAAAAATTAAGGCATCTTTATTTCTAAATTCCATAGATATGCCAAATAGTGCAACTTCTGTACGCTAGTTGATGTACGCATTTGATGCTGTAAGAACAGCAAAGCTGAAGTGTGATAGGAAAGTACATGCTGCATAGATTTCAGTTTTCCCAACATTTCTGGGTTTTTTTCTCCTGTGGGCTTCAATATTCCTGGAAATCCCACATCCTGCAGAAGCTTTTGTGGAGGCCTCTGCTGCGTCTATCTCTTTTGTCACCGTAACATGCTGATGGTTTTCCAGAACAAGCCGAAAATCAACGAGTTCATGAAGAACAAGTAAGCCCCCTCCCCGGTCTCATTTGTGCTGTTGTGTGTGGGGGTGGGGTCTGATCCTCTACCAGGGGTCCCCAACCTGCAGGCACCTTTGGAATTTCAACACAGGGTTGTGGGCACAGCCACAAAACGGCTGCTGCGGATGGTGGTGTGTCAGACCCCTGGTCGGAGTGACTCTCGACAACACTCTCTGACAGTGATCTGTTCATTGAGATAGAATCATGTTCTAGGCTAGTTCGGTACTGTGTCAGAACTGAGGTTCTGGTGGGAGAATCCAAAGATATAGGCCAGGGGCATCAAACATAAAGCCCGGGGGCCGGAACAGGCCCACCCAGGGCTCTTATGTGGCCTGCGAGCAACTACTGCAAGGGAGGGAACAGGAGACTTCAGCATGGTGGAACAACCTCGTCTGCAGCAGTCAAGCATTGTAGGAGCGTCTGCCCAGTGCTGCACCGCTGGCTCTCCAGTCTGCCCATACGGGTCTTCCTTTGCATCCCCCTCCCAGCCCATGAGGCGTTGAAGTGAGCATACACCCACTTGGAGCTTACCAGCTGCTGTCCTTTATACAGTTTATATCTCCGGTACCTCAAGTGGTTAAGACGCTGAACTGCAGGCTGTGGAAGGTCGGTAGTTCAGCAGTTCGAGACCCGGGTGCCGCATGATGGAGTGAGCTCCCGTCTCTAGTTCCAGCTCCTGCCAACCTAGCAGCTCAAAAGCAAGAAACTGCAAGTAGATAAATAGGTACCACTTCGGTGGGAAGGTAACAGCGTTCCGTGCGCCTTGGTGTTTAGTCATGCCGGCCACATGACCACGGAAACGTCTTCGGACAGCGCTGGCTCTTCTGCTCTGAAACGGAGATGAGCACCGCAACCCTAGAGTCAGATTCCGCTGGCTTTCCAGCAAGGGAGACCTTTACTTTACCTGGCATTATGTTTTATGGCACACCTGGCCTAGCTTGACTAAGTGACATTTTTGTCAGATCCGGCCCTCATAACCTATGAGTTCAACGCGTCTGATATAGACAGTTCAAACAGGGTCCCATGTCCACTGCGTCCAGTCACACGTCACAGCCGTCCCGCCTAGCTTTTGCGTGCACTACCCCCCACACACACACCTGTGAATAGACGGTTTCTTTATCTATAATAGCTCGCAGGCACAGTCTTGGCTTCAAGGTCGTCCCCGGATGAGAGAGGTAGCTTGGGAAGAGTTACATCGCCTACGATAGAGCAGTTCACACACACTCGGCCATTCACACACACACACCCCGCTCAGGAATTTCCCTCCCCTTACAAATCATGGCGAACTAGAGACAGAGTTTGACATGGTGTCACCTGCTACCAAAGAAACATCTTTAAAAGTCTGCACCGCCAATCAAAACTCCAGTGGCCAATCAGAAACCTTCCTGGGCAAAAGCCCCACCCACTATCTGAAACACTTGGCAGGTGCCAGAGTGCGCGACGGTGCCTGCGGCCCCCCACATTACGGACCCCTTGTTGTAAACGCAGGGTGTGAAATGCAGCAGGTAGAAACTAAAGGGGGTAAGAAGGCTCCCCGCCCCCATCCAAAGGGCTGTTATCGGCTCTTTTGCACTGAGGGTGAGTGAGACACCTGAGGACAGAGGAAGCTGGGGGGGGGCTTGTAAGGCTCCGGAGCTAATACCGCTTTCCCCCCCCCCCCGCGTCTTCGTTCCCCACTCCACAGCAGAATCTTGTATGCTGGAGCCGTGTCGCTGGTCCTGGCGAGCCTCACGTTCCCCCATGGAGTGGGGCAGTATATTGGTGCCAGGGTAAGAGAGAGCCCCCCCCCGTGGGGCAGGAAGATCCCCCCTCCTTCTTGCATCCCATGATGAAAACATGTCAAAAGACAGCAGGAGTCTCTGAGCTTCATCCTCCCTCAAGACTACTTTTCTGTATGCATTTAATCCCAGACTTTTTTTGGGGGGGGGCAGGCCATTGTCACGCATTTGGGTGGCTAGAGGGGGCCCCTTTCTCTTCCTCCTCCTGCCCGCCATGTGCCGGGGCCATTGGATTCCAAAGAGAACCCCTCTAGGGGAAGAGGTGTGAAAATCAAGTCCCCCTGAGCTTGTGCAGAGTGGACACAGGAGCATCCCCAGCCCCTCGGGGGGGCTTTGGGGAGGATGTTTCTGGGGCGGGAGGGGAGGCCTCCGGATAGTTTTCACCCCCGCCCGGCCTCCTTGCCTCTCCCTCCCTCCCTCCCAGCTTTCCATGAAGGAGCTCCTGGAGACCTTCTTCAACAACATGACCTGGGGGCGGGAAGAGGCCTCCCTGGGCAGCGCCACCCCCCAGCCCCTCAACCTGACCCACGATGACGCCAACTGGCTTCACTGGACGCAACAGGACCTGTCCGTGCTGGAGATGTTGGTCCTTTTCCTCGTCGCCAAGGTGGGTCCCCACGTGCCGTTGGGGCTGGGGGCTGGGGGCTGGGCAGGGGCGGATGAAGGCTCCCTGGTGCCGGAAGCACTGGCCCATCATGGTGCCCCCCACCCTCCTTTCCTCACTGACCCCCCAGTCCATGTTAGTGGCTGACCTGTCTGACCGGATAGACAATGCAGGTTGCAGCAATAGAAAAATGTATACATAGGATGATAACACAATATACTGTACAGACTAAGCTTTTCACCCTTTCCGCAACTTTGTGGTGCCCCCTTTGGCCCTGGTGCCCGAAGCACGTGCTTCGACTGCTTCATGGCTCATCTGCCCTGGGGGCTGGGCCGTGCACACTGAGCCCCACTCCTCTGGCACGGGCGGCCTCCTTCGCTGTTTTCACGCTCCCGGCCCTTTCCCGCCTCGTTTCCTCTCTTCTGCTACAGCCGCGGATGGGCTGCTCTGAGTTGGGGAATTCCTGGAGCTCAGCAACGGAAAAGTAGGCAGACGGAGAGTGATTTCAGCAAAGCGTACTTTATCCGATCAGGAACAAGACGACTTTGGCCGGCTCGCAGGCCGGCTTATATCCCCCGAGAAACCGCCACCCAAAACACACCCCTCCCTCCCAATAAATTATTTACAGTGGCCGAGAGTCCCATAGGCTCTCGGCCGGGAACCTAGCCCCCTGATTGGAGCGGGCTAGGATCCGCATAGTCCATTGTCTCTTGGAGCGAAGCTCGACGTTTGTCTCTGACCGCGTGGAGCCCGAGCCGGCCACGCGGTCTGGACTGGATACATTACAGCAACCCTCTCTGCTCCTCTCATCTGCTGCTCTGCCCCACTGCCTCCGTGCAGCGTGGCTGAGGTCAGCATCTGGCCAGACGTGGCCCTTGCCCCATTGGTCCGGAAGGGGGTCGGGGCTCCTTCCCCCATGCCCTCCCCTCCCTCTGCTGGCCCCTCCCCTCAGACATTCCTTTGTGGGCTCCTCGGGGCAGAGACCTGTTGCCGGCTTGAGCCCCGGGGCAGCCGAGCACAGAGACAGGGCTGCAGAAGCGATCATCAGTGAGCACCACCACCACACGCTCTCCCTTTCTCATCTCTCCCTCTTTCCCCTGAAGTTTATTCCCCCCCCCCCGCACTGATTCTGCCTGGGACTCAGACCTTCCCCCAGCCCCGTAGTTAGGGAAGTATTGGGGGGGCTTGGGGGGGCACCAACTAATTAAATGAAAGTACAGTGCAGGTGGTAAGTTGGTGCACTTTGGGGGCAGCCCAGGAGGGAGGGGGCCCAGAAGAAACACAAGGGGGCCAGGCCCCATGGGCCCCGTGTTAGCTACGGGCCAGCCCCCCCTCCCCCGTGACTTACCCGGCTCTCTCTCTCTCTTTCCCGATAGTTCTTCATGCTGCTCGCTGCAACCACCATGGTGGTGCCCGCTGGATATTTCCTCCCTGTCTTTGTTTATGGTGAGGAACGCCGCTGAAGCTGCCGCCGCCCTCGCCAGGGAGCCCCCGGGGTCTGCTGTCGGCACCTGGCTTCTCTGCCGGGAAGTGCTCAGGTCTTCTTAACTCCCGCCTGGCAGCACCCGGCAGCTGCGTGTCTGGCCCTTCCTTGGAGACTCTGCGCCAGCTCTCGCCCAGGGGTCCCCGCCCTCTGTGCGCCCGGGGGCACCTCCGGGATTCTGACACAGCATGGTGGGCACAACCACAAAATGGCCGCCACCGCCTAGGGATGCCGGCCTCCAGGTGGGACCTGGGGATCCCCCCCGAAGTACAGCTCATTTCCAGACTGTGATGTAATGCAGAGATCAGCAGTGTCCCCTCTAAGCCGAGTGAGTGTGAGCTAGCTCACTATTTTTTAGCCTCCGGCTCACCCAGTTTTGCCTTGGCTCGGGAAGGGATGGCTCCAGAGGAAAGGAATTGATGCAGCGGCCAAATCGCTCACTCACCACTTTAATGCCAGGAGCTTGCAAAGTAGATTTTTTGCTCACCATCCTCCACAGCGTAGAGGGAGCCTTGGGGATCAGTTCCCCTGCAGGGTGGGCTCTGTGGCCTTGTACCCCACGGAGGTCCCTGTCCTCCCCAGGCTCCATTCCTAAACCCAAAGAAAGGGGGGGGACCTAAACCAACCAAGCAAAAACCTCCAGAGGAAGTTTAGCAAACTTAGGTAAAGGCAGGGGTCATTTCGGGGGGGGACGCGGGGGAACACAGTTCCCCCGTGTGAGGTACAAGGGGGCGGGGCACATGACGAAGCCCCGCCCCCCGCTTCCGGCCGCCCCGCTTCCGGACCTCATTCAGCCAGGAGGAGGCAGGAGAAGAGGGAGGGTAAGTTGCTTCCTCCCTGCTTCTCCCCACCCCTGCCTGCCTGGAGCCAGGGAGGGTCTTTGTGTGGCTTCC